TCAATAGAGATTGGCAATTCCAGGGCTGAAATTATCCAAATGATTCTAGTGAAGGTGTATGGAGTTTAATAACAGTGGAGCACTTCCTGTATTACCACATGACATCGCAATGTGGAACAGCGTGGTTTTAGACTCAAGCTTAAATATGCAAGATTTGTGTGTTAAACATGCAAATAAATGAGACAAACACAACTCCAGGTATGTTTGTGACGAGGAAACAACATAACGTTACATAGATCAGAACATTGTGTAATATGAGCCTTTTAACACAATTCTTAAAATCCATTACAAATTCTACTTTTCTACTGTTTACGTACATATTTAGAATCATGTTAGTCTAATCATAATCTTTAACTTCATGAACAAAATCCCCAACTTCTTTTATCCAAACACTAAGGTCACCTGAGTCTCTTGTCCTTGTAGTTTCGTGTTCCATCGAGACAAGCCTCAACAAATGACATTTCTGCCACATTCACTCTCAGCCTGATTTTACAGTGAGCCGTTCTTCACACGGCTCAGATAAACCAGGACAAACCTTTACGTTTCTGTGATTGAACCATATCCTCCTCCGCAGAAATCACCTCTCCTATAAGCTCCAAATCCGCCCACGTAATCAACCATCACCTCCAACTCTCCTCTTTCAGAAACAGGACAAAGATCTGAAATTGTAGTTTGACTCTGTGTTAGAATGTCCAATGATTTAAAGGTGCATTGCGTAACTTTTCTACTTAAATACTTAAATGCTTTTCTTCATCAAGATGTTTTTGCTTTATAATGTTTCACAGTATGGCATTAAACCTTTCTATCATCATGAAGCCCAAACAAGGCAAAGTTACAGGTCAGATGTGTGGAGAGGAGAGGCGACCCCGCTTACAGTTGTTTTTTTTAGGTATTTTTGATCAGTAGAAGGCAGAGCAATAGTATATGCATAGAAACAAGCAGGTGATGGGGCTCCAACCAAAAAGTTACACAGTGCACCTTCAAGTACCGTATTTTTCAGACTATAAGGTGCATTAAGCGAAACAAACGGACGACACTTGAGACCGATACCTTAGCCCAGGCATCCATGATCCATTGGTAGATTGTGGTGTCACTTGGCGTCTTCGTGAAAGTGTATTATGGATGTGAATTTGGCTAGATAATTTAAGTTTGGATTTTTATTTCTTACGAGAAGGACTCAAATATACATTAAGTAATAATGTGTTTAATGCAGCAGCTTGCTTGCTCTTACTCTGACTACAAAGGCCGTAATGCTCCATCAACAATCCATCAACCAGTGTGGCTTTGTAGTTTACCAAAGTTACTACTACTACTACATTTACTACTACTACTAAAACATTTTTACTGATTTTTGAGCACCTTGTACCACTTAAAATCGGTTCAAGGTCAGTAAGCACAACCAGAATTAATATATAAGGCCGACCGGATTATAAGGTGCACTGTCGATTTTTGAGAAAATTAAATGATTTTAAGTGCGCCTTGTAGTCCGAAAAATACAGTAATACATGGTTTACTCTTGAATGTCATTTTGTATTCATTGGTTCCAACTTGCCTGTTATATTGCTCTTATAGCAGCCATTGTGACATTTTATCATTCAAAAGATAAAATAATAACTTTTAATTTTAAATATTTGATGACTTCAACAATACCAACTTTTCATCACTCTGGATATCAGGTATTAACCCTATAGTTTATCCCTCTATAGAAATAGATTTGATTCTTGTATTAGTATAGTGTTGCATATTTAATTTTATCCTTAAAAGCTCAAATACATTCATTTTTATTTTACTAATCTGTATATTATCTTGCTGCTATTAAGTGTACCAGCGAAAAAGAGGCGACTGTATTAAAAAGGCCCATATTATGCTATTTTCTGATCTGTTATAATGTTGTTTCCTCATTACAAACATACCTAGAGTTGTGTTTTGTTTCATTCATACAAGTTTAACACACAAATCCTGCATATTTTAGGCTGAGTTCTTCTCTCAAACTGAAAACTCTCTTTTCCACTTTGTGATGTCATGTGGTAATACATTCACTTTCACTAGAATGGCTCATTTTAGCCCTAGAATTGTCACTAAACAAAAGGTAAAAGCAGCTGTTAATTTGAAAACTGCAGCTTCATGACATCACAAAGTGGAATAGAGCATTTTGAGCTTTGGAGATGTGGACAGACTAATAATAAAGGGTTACTTAAACAGGTGTTAATGAAACAAAACATAACTCCAAGTATGTTTTTGATGAGGAAACAGCATCAACATGGCAAAACCCGCTCACAAGAGTCAATTTTGCCTTGGACCTTTAACTAATAATGCAATTACTTATATTAAAAAATTGTTAATCTCAGTCCACAACCTTCTCTTGACGTCGTCCTCCATAAGGCTGCAGGAGATAAACCTTTTTCTTATGAGGGAAATCTGCTTAAGTTGTGAATCTTTTTATGCAGGAGCTGAGCAGATGTGCTTATTTCAAATGCATTACGGAGCCTCACACTCGCGTTTTATGGATATGCAAGCTAGACATTTATAGCACGAGCGGCACCAGCGGATCCGTCAGTGCAGAGGTCACACAGGACTTTCAAACATTTTATTTTCCGTTCAAATTGTCAGATTTCCAGACCAACTCACTCAAGGTTGATGTTCGCTCACATTCTTTTGACGGGCGGAGAAATTCATAACATTGGCCCAGTCTAAAGCATGATTTAAGCAGCAAGCATACTACAAAATATCTATAATTTAAAGTCTTTGGGAAATCTATTTTAAGGACTTGGGGCAGGTTTCACATCTGCCATCTACTAGTAAAAAAAAAAAAAAAGAAAGTAAGTTGCAGATGGTAGCTTTAGAATGCCCTTATTATTTTATTTACGATATGCCCCCAGTTTTAAAGTTATCTAGGGTTTTAGGTGTTATAACTTAAAGCAAACCTATTATGCAAATCGACTTTTCAGAGCTTTTAACCATATTATAGTTGTTTCCTCTCACCATTTGCTCACCCGTAGTTGTATTTGGAGTGATCCATACACGTTAGGGCAATATTTAATCGCTTATTTTCAAGCCGCCATTTTGCCGATCAACGTCTGTTTTCACCACCATCAGCATGCCATACACCCACTGCTCTTTACTTGCTTTGTTCTCCAATTTTATTTTCTTAATCTGTGATACACTTAGGATTCAACAGCATTCTCTAGTAGTAATTTTTTTGTTTTTTGTTATGTCATGTCATGTCATGTTAATGCTACTGTGACCCCTGCTCCAAGCCAAATTTCTCCCTAAGGACATGAAGTAAATCGAAACCTAAACCTAAACATAGCAATTGTGGTACAAAGAAATATTCTATTCAGTAACTTATCCACGATGATGACATGTACGGTGACATCAGCTCCCGTTGGAGACCGCAGTTTTCAACGTCAACAAACCTGTCTGTTTTAGTAGTTTAAGTACCTTATTTTTTGGACTATAAGTCGCTCCGGAGTATAAGTCACACCATCCAAAAAATGCGTAACATATATAAGTCGCACCAGACTATAAGTTGCACTTTTTGTGGGAAATTTATTTGATAAAAACAGAGACCAGGAATCGACATTTCATCTTGAAAGGCAAATTATAGTAATAATAGAATAGGGAACAACAGGCTGTTAACGTCACATATGAACAGTTCTTCAGATAACTACAGCATAAACAACAGAACAGAACAAGTTTACCAAACTCTCCATCTCACTCCAAATCACTAAATCCATTGAATTCTTCATCCTCAGTGTCACTTTTGAGCCACTCAGCATCAGTTTCAGTTAAAATGATTCCGGCCTTTCTGAATCCTGACAGGATGGTTTCCGTTGTCACTGAAGTCCAGGCTTGGTCGATCCATCCAGTGTCTTCTAGGAAAGTTGCATGGCGCACTCTCCCGGTTACCTTGAAGCTGTGTCCTCCATCCCCACTTTCTTCCTGTCCCTCACAAGTTTCTCGCTCACTCAATACTTTTCTTTCTGCTGTTCGATTACTGTTTTCACTACTTGCAGCAGGACACATGCAGGCAATATGCACGGTAGCCTTGGACAGTAGTAGGACAGTAATGTACAAGCCTAGAGCACCCTCTCATGGCCGTCAGTTCCAGGACCACCCAAACCATGAAAAAAGTGTGACTTATAGTCTGAAAAATACAATAGTTTTAGATCCATATTATGATTTAAAATGTGCGAATTCTAACAATGATCTGCAAGTGTCATAGATATACTATATAGCGAACACAAGCACAATATGTCTTCTTTAAATTCAAAAGTCTTTGACTGTGTCTCATTCATCTTTCCTCGCTTCCTTCTTCTCGATTCCTCTCGATTCTGCAGGAAATGGGTGAGGAAGTCCCGCCCACAAAGAAAACAAAGCAAGGAGAGAGGATATAAACTCCTCACTGAGACTAGTAAAGTTTGATTCTCTTCTTTGTCTGCTCCTGAAGCCTCCCTCAGTTTTACTCCTTCATTCCGTGGTTTTCTTTTGGACACCACTTCATTTGACATATTTGATAGACAGCTGAAAAATTGAGGATCGAGGAGAGGAATCAAGGAGAAGGAAGCGAGGAAAGAGCCATTACAATGTGGCTGTTGCATATTGGAGATGAACACGGTGAAATAGAGTAAAGAATTTGGATTGCTTGAATAAATAAATAAAATAAATAAGTGTACTATCATTATAATCTATTGTCTAGTAGTTTCAATAATAACCCCTTTGGACTTTGAAATGCTCTGTTAAACCAGCTCTTTGGTTAAATTCACACTTTACTCTGCCTCCTATTGCTTTGAGAACAACAAACACAGGTGTGGACTCAACCAAATAAAAGAGACAATGGACACCCAACTGTGACATGTTTCAAGCCAAAAACAGTGGAACTTTAACTCTTTGTTCAACAGGTTTTTAGATTACACAAATAATAGTTGTTTGTTTTTACTAATATGTCGCCTTTTTTGCAGTCAATAACTTGCTTTTTTGTCCAATCTTTTGTCTTGCAGGAAAGGAAAGTTCCTGCACCACTATGAAAACTATGGAGCTACAGCGAAAGACATCGCAGACTGGCTCAGAAAGTAAGTTTTTTTTTTTAAGTAACCTCTTTACCCTATTGATACTTTGTAGTGACATCATGGTGGGGGTGTTCAGTCTGTATGCCTATGGTGGAATGTTCTGAAGTTACCATGGTGAGGTAACAAACATAAAAAATACATTTTTTCAGATACTTTTCAGAACACATTTTCAGAAACCTGTGATCAATACAAGTTCGATACTGTTTAGGAGTTCAGTTTTCAACAAAAAGGCCAGAGTTACTACTTGAAAATCAGATGTCTAGCTAGCTTGGGACTGTAATGTTATTGGAGATAGACTTGTTTTATTAGCTCTTTATGGTCCTATTGTGTTAAAACAACAACATTAAAGTCTAACTTGAGTAAAAGAGTTTCAGACGAAGAAGTATCAATAACTTGTCAAGAGTTTTATGTAATGTTAAAATCAGTTGGTTTAAGATAAATAAGTGCTGCATCTCCATCTATCAGCTTATTCCTGTGACTGAATACAGATGGAACTGCTAAAATCAGTATTATTGAATCAATGGGTGTCGTACCTGATTTTAAAGGGACAGTTCAGAATTTTGAAAATGGGGGTCTCATTTCCTAATTAGTCAGTGTTGGAGACGTGTGGAGACACTTTTTTAAATATTCCATCCTTGTATTTGCAGAGGTCGCTGGTGCTAGGGTAGTACATGTCAATGGCCATAGTTAGCCTGACACTGAAAACAGTCTTAACCACTCCACAAAACACCTGAGGCAAAACAGTTATTACGCCAGACTGTTGAAGTGAATGTCTGTGTCGATAGAATAATTTTAGAAGTAAAACCAATCTTGCATTTGAAGGATTTATGTCTGAGCAGGAGCAGTGAGTTGTACTTCCTGATAGAAAGCTTGGCAGCAGAGGACTGATACAAGAAAATAGTCCCTCATTCATGCGATGCAAGGTTAGTTTTATTTCAAGTATCATTCTATCAACACAGACATTTACATCGACAGTCTGGTGTAATAATAGATTTGCTTCGAGTAATTTGTGGAGTGGAGAAGACTGTTTTTAGTGGTAGGCTAACTATGTCTATTGACGTGCTAGCCTAGCATCAACGACCTCTACAAATACAAGGACTGGATAGAATATTTTTAAAAAAGTGTCTCCACACGTCTCCAACACTCTGGCTCACAAGGAAATGAGGTCCTATGTCCAAAATTCCAGACTGAAGTAATGCATTTCAAGTAGGGGTGGGCGATATCTTGATATTTAAAATGTATCAAGATATTTTTTAAACATGATATGGATTTTGAAATATCGTATATATCAATATAATGCTTATATTCAGATTTCGCTGCTTTGCTTATTTATCTTCTCGGTCGTTGCCCTTTGCGCGCCCCCGCCTCCCTGATTTTGCTCACTTGTGTCTCATTCACTCCTCACTACCGCCGTGAATGACGAAAGTTGGTACCAGTGAAAAGCTTCTAGCAACACGAACCTTTTCTTCACAGCACATGCTCTGTCACAGAGAGAACACTCATATTCCTCTTAGTCGTATCCTTTAGTCCAAAAGAAGCTGAAACGCATCAGCGGCAAAAGGAGCACACGGTTTATGCAAATGAGTCATGTGGTTTTATGTTTTCTTTCTGTAAAACGTTAACACACGTGCGTAAAACTGCATTAAACATATAATCACAAACTGGCTGTAAAGTTTAGTAATGTAAAGTATATTTTTGCAGAAGATTTTAATGAATAATGTGCTGCTGTGTAACTTCTACAATAGTGTTTGGAAACGTTGGGTTTGATCTGTGCAGTGGATTGTGGGAAACTTCATAGCTCCTTACGCTGGTGAGAAACGTGGATCTGTTAAAATAAGGAACCTCCCGAGCTTCCTCTGCTAAAGGAGCTCATGGTTGTCGTACGGTTAATAGAGTTAATGTAAAGAGGTGAATCGTTTAACTTTTCTGGTTCAGGATCTGTCAAATGCTTTTCTCCACGTGGATGTTATTGCTTTCTCTGGAATGTTTCACAGTATGGTATTAAACCTTTCTATCTTCATGGAGATCAAACCAGACAAAGTTACAGGTCAGATCTGCGGACAGGCAACCCCACTTACAGCCAGAATACCTGTTTTTCTCTGTATTTTTGAGCTATAAAACCATCTGTAATTGAGTAAATGTAAGGTAGTGCTGTTTAATGTCATACTGTGGAACATTCCAAGCAGAGTATTGACATCGCCATAGAAACAAGAAGGTGACAGACCCCCAAGCAAAAAGTTGCATAGTGTGCCTTTAAAAACATGGAAAAATCAGGTGCAGCCCTTTTTAAAATTCTAATTTGGCTAGTCACTATGAGAAATGATCAGGTTGAACATTTGTGATTTTTCTTTTCAGTTTTTCTTATGAAAGTAAAATGTTGTTAATAGGGAAAAGTGGCACCCCCCTTGTGCCCCATCTGGGAGTATTACATTATCACATTCCACTATCTGAAAACCACACAGGCAAAACACAAATTTGCAAGTTTTAAAACAGTTTTTTTGACTTGTTCACATAACATTTAAATGCCTAATTACCCCTCGCAGTGTAGAAAAAAGTGTAAATTGTTATTTTGCTTTTAAATTAGATATTTTATTTCACAACAGTTAGCTCCAAATGACAGTGTCTGACCCAAACTGCACTCATAAGACTACACCTGCACTGGACTTAAAAAAATAATAATTTATACTAAAAAGTACTAAGAAATTATTTGTTTATATGTAAAAATACAGATTAAATTCATAATTCATTCCAAAATATTTAGTCAATACATTCATACTTTTCTGCTGTTGTCCCATATAAATCCTTAATCTTTAAATTCAGATCTTATTGCTTTGTCTGGAATGTTTCACACTATGGAATTAAATCTTTCTATCATGCAGACCAAACCAGGCCAAGTTACAGGTCAGATCTGTGGAGATGCAACTCTGCTCACAGTCAGAATGCCTGTTTTTCTAGGTATTTTTGAGCAATAAAACCACCTGTAACTGAACAAAATATAATCTGTTCAGTGTCATACTGTGGAACATTCCAAGCAGATCAATGAAATTTCCATAGAAACAAGATGGTGACGGACCTACTATCAAGTTACATCAGTTATATCAGTTACACAGTGCACCTTTTTATAATCTAATACAGCTAATGCAAGTTTTTGGTTGATTAATACACCATCGATTAATAGACTCAAGGACTACAGCCCTAGTTCTTCTTTCAAACTCCCAAAATAAAGCTCTCTAAATAAAAAAGGACAGTGCAGTGTGGTGTTTTGGGGCAGAGAAATGAGACAGAGGTGAATATGAGACACAGCTGGAGCAGAGGTGACCAGTGAGAGGGGGGAGCGTGATGGAGGTGTGAGCCCGGACTCACACTTCAGACATCTTAAATTGAAGTGCAGTCTAAGTTTGAACACTAGGTCCAATGATCGACTATTATTGGTTTATTTGAGCGTGACAGTGCATGTTAAAGGCACAGCACCTGATATTTACGCTTTTTGCAAGTTTATTCACATGAGCTCATGCCGTTACACCTCTGCCTCTGAGAAGGCACTGGGCACAGAAACTCCACACTTTTTAATGAAGTTTATGGACTAATTTGGGTGCTTTGTATGTTTTTTGTATCCAATTTTTCCTTTTAACTATGGGCCAAATGATGTCTGTGTCTGAAATATATATATTTTTTTATTTTAATGGTTTGGGGTAGTCCAGTTATTCCTCACTTACCTTACTTATACCGAGCATTCTCAGTGCAGTGAATAATTTATAACTTTCAGAGACCAGAATGGAGTTTTGCCCCAATGTAAAGCTAATAACAACTAGCAGGTTAACTTGCATGCACTTCCTGATGATCGGACACTAAAAGGCTTTATAATTAGATGCAGACAGAGCACAGCTGACTTATTTTGACATCAAGAGCCGCTTATACCATATATTTGTACACACATTTTGCTCATATACAAATACTGTAAACAACCACTATTCAACACTATGGTGTACATATGAACACGCATATGACACGTTTTCATGTTTTTCAAATTGTTACTTTGTCATAGGTGAGATAGTGAATAGGAATGAGACAAAATTGTCACAAGATCGTGCACACATGAGAAAAATGATCTCGTGAGATTTTTTCCAAGCGTTTACATTTGGATTGGACAAACAAAGAGTTACATATTGATAAATTACATTTGTTACAATTCCAAAAGGCAATACTAGAATGGAAACAAAATTATTAAATCAAGTAAATTGGAAACTGACTAGTGAAATTTACGTATTCCGAATAATGTTAAAATCTTGCCTTGTCTCGTTCTCATTGAGTCAATCTAGTATCTCGTCTCATCTTGTGTGTGTCTCGTCCCATCCCTAATAGTGAATATTTATCATAGTTTTACATCAGTTAAAGTGGCAGTTTGTAGGAAAACAGAAGTTGAACAGTACAAAAATATGGGAAAATTCCATCCAAAATTAAGGGATAATTTATGACAATTAAGGAGTTTTCTGGCAGTTTAAGCCTTCATTTACAAAATAAAGCTTTTTGCATTCATTTTCTTAGTCTAATCTTAACTATTCTGTAATTTAGATATGTTTTGGCCCTTGTTAACATTATGATTGCTAGGTAACAGGAACGGAGTTACCTGTACTTATGTTGCATCTGCGGCCTGTTTCCAGGTAGAAAAAACTTGGCAAGTTTTTAAGAATAGGCAAGATGATAATTATGTTAACCAGTTTTTGATGAAATTAGTGTCTGTCAAATGCACTTTAAAGGTCCTATATTACTCCAAGTGAATTCTTGTGAACTTTTAGCCATGTTACTATGTTAATACTTCATCAAAAACATACCTGGAGTTGTGTTTTGTTTCATTCACACATCTTTGAATAACCCTCTATTATTACTCTATCTACACCTCCAAAACTCAAACTACTCTTTTCTACCTTGTGATGTCATGAAGCATTAGTTTTCAGGTTAACAGCTCCTTTAACCTTTTGTTGAGTAGAAATGGCCAATATCAGGTCTGAAATCATCCAAGTGATTCTAGTGAAGGTATATGGAGATATATATATCCATATACCATATTTTCCATATGGCATATGGAAAAACATAGTGGAGCCCTTCCTGTATTACCACATGACATCACAAGGTGGCACAGGGTGTTTACAACTTCAGAGAAGAACTTGGCCTAAACGCAGGGTTTGTGTATTAAACATGTGTGAATGAAACAAAACACAACTCGGGGTGTGTTTTTTTTTTTTATGAAACAACATTCTAACAAATCAGAATATTGTGCAATATCGGTCTTTTAATGTGAACACTGAGTTGCATTGCGAAAATTGAGTGATTTGAATAAATAAATAAAACATGAAAAGAAACAAAAGAAAACAAAAGAAATCAGGCCTAACAGGATTCTGAAGTCAAATGCTTTTTCTTTCAAACTTGGCCCTGTGTCTTTGAGGGACTTTGTAGATGCCACAGATGAGAATTCCTCGTCATAACAGTTCTCCACAAAAGCCTGAGTTCATTGTTCATATTTAGATTTTTTCTGTCCATTGTGCTGCTCTGTCTCGCTGCTCCCTCTTTATCTGCGCTTTTTATTTACTCCACATCACCTCCAAACTTTTGATGAAGTCTGAGCCATTTTCAGATTCAGCAGTCCTTCAGAAGCTCTGGTATTCTCTTTTCAATAATGTGATTTTTTTTTATACAGGTAACATCAATGTCATTTGGACTCAAAAGAAATTGCCAACAGAGCCATTACAAGTGCGAATCAGGCAGGAGTTTTGACTGTTGTTTAAACTCAGTTCTTCATTGTTTTTCCTAATGCTATACTGAAAACCCTCTCGGTGTCAGTCAAATTGAGAACATATGGCATAGACCAGTATGTCTCATTTGATTTAATCCTAATAATGTATGATTCTAGCTTTAATCTTTAATTTAAATTTTTTAATGAGGCTTAATTTTAGAGTTATATGCTCTATTCAAGATCATTTGAAGGTATACCCCTCAGGCTAGGGTATCCAAAGCTCCAACAATGCTTATTAGAAGAAGGACTGAACTAGGCCAGAGTGATATGATATAAATATTATCTCGATAGAAAAGAGGCAATTTGTGATTGTATGAAAAGAATCGAAATTACAATTACCGTATTTTACAGACTTTCAGTCACTTCGGAGTCGCACCAGCCAACAAATGTGCAATGAAGAGGAAAAAAACATATATAAGTCGCACTTTTTGGGGAAATTTATTTTATAAAATCAGAGACCAGAAACAGACATTTCATCTTGAAAGGCAGGTTATAGTAATAACAATAGAATAGAGAACAACAGATTGAATAGGCATTAATATGTTAACGTAACATATTCACAGTTATTCAGATAATTAGGGCATAAACAACATAACATAAGTTCTAACAACATAACATAAATTCTTCATCCTCTATGTCATTTCTGCGCATCGTCTGGAGATAAACCGTAGATCCATGAGGTAAACAGAGCGCCGCTTCCTCTTCTGTGTAGCTGTCGTCAGACTTGGCATCAGTTCCAGTTAGAATTATTCTGGCCTTTCTGAATCCCGACAGGATGGTTTCGGTTGTCATTAGAGTTCAGGCTTTGTCGATTCATCCAGTGACTTCCAGGAAAGTTGCACGGCGCACCCTCCCGGTTGCCGTGAAGCTGTGTTCTACATTCCCGCTTTCTGCCTGTCTCTCACAAGTTTCTCACTCACTCCAAACTTTCTTTCTGCTGCTCGATTACCATTTTCGGCTGCATATTTCACTACTTGCTGCAGGACAGCGACTTTTTCTACAGGAGGCATGCGCAGTAGAGTGCCAGTGGTACAGGAGTAATAGTAGCACTAGATACTGACACACAAGCCTAGAGCGCCCTCTCGCGGCTGTCAGTCTGAAAATTTTAGTATACAAGTCGCACCGGAGTATAAGTCACAGGACCACCTAAATCATGAAAAAAGTGCGACTTATAGTCCGAAAAATACGGTATACTAAAGGCTGCTAAAAGCTACCATATGCATTTGGATTGGCTTGCCACTACTACGATGCTATCTGCGTAACTTCTGTCTGATATACTGTCAGCTTTGGCCTGACAGAGAAGACCAGAGAGCAGAGGCGAGCCTGAATAAAGGTCTTTTGAGAGGGAAGTAAGCCAGGTGAGCAAACAGGTTTCACATCTGCCATGTACTCGTAGAAATTAAATCTAATAAAGCTTCAGATGGTAGCTTTAAAGGTGCATGCTTGTACTTATTTCAGGATTTTTAAGTTATAAGTTCTGCTTCCTCTGCTCGTGTCTTATCTCTTTCATTCCAAGTTTTTCAAAATTTTAGGTTTCACATCTGCCATCTACTTGTAGAAATTAAATTTAATAAAGCTTCAGATGGTAGCTTTAAAGGCGCATGCTTGTACTTATTTCAGGATTTTTAAGTTATAAGTCCTGCTTCCTCTCATCATGTCTTATCTCTTTCATTCTAAGTTTTTAGTCTCTGCAGATACTCCACAGTTAGTGTTTAAGTTTCTCAATGAGCTTGTGTCTCCCTCTCACAGCTCACAGGGAAATCAGCTGCAGTGCACTTCAGACTGTTACACAATACGCCCGTGGTCTGATGTGAAGCTTTTATGTAGTGCTCGCCTCATTGCACTTCTGCTTAGATGCTAAACTGCATTTTGTAGCACTCTACTTGTACAATGACAATGACTATAAAGTTTCAGTGAATGTTGAAACATTTGAATTAAGCTGAGATGGGAGAGTTCTGCTGTGAATTGGACCCAGTGCCCTCCATCAAGCACATATACAATGCCTTCATACAGCGAGCACATACCAGCTCTGATTCAAACCACTCGGAGAGGAAAGTCCGATTGGTTCCAGAGGACGAGGATAGAGCTATACATAGGTCCGATCCAACATGGAAGTGCAGAAACAGACCAGAGCGGGTTTTACAAATGATTCCCAGAACGCAGGAGGTCCCAAGGGTGCACAAAGGGAGCAGATTTTGTGTATAACTTTCAAAGAGATATGCTTCATTCACGGTGTTGAATGCCGTTATACTCTTAAAAACTGGAATTTCACATGTGGAAGACCATCAACCAGAAAATTTACATGGTGTACCTGTAAATCTAAATCTATGTAAACCTGTGACTGGAAACAGAGTAAAGGTGCCAAAAAATATAGCAAAAAGTGTAAATCCGTGACCTTGTAAGACAATGTTATATTTTTTCACAATGCAGAGACTCCATTAAAGGGGCTCTGTTAGTGTGTCAAAATGAAACCGCTGTGTGCTGTCTGTATATACTTATAAAGTGTTTTGATCATCCAGAAGCCAGGAATTATAAGGCTGCTGTGCTGTTAGCATGCTAGTTGTTGTCCGCATTACCATGAAAGCAAAACTCCACTCTCTGAAAAGTGCTTATTAAGGTCTCCGAAAGCTGTGAAAAGTGCTTATAAACTAATTGCTGCCAATAATGAGTATGCTGGTAAGGGAAGGTACACTTTATTGCTCCTGTAGGGAAATTTGTCCTCTGCATTTGACCCAGAAATGAATTACGAATTAGTTTAGACCTCTGCTTTGCGTTTTTAAGACACTAATGAATAAGTATTGCAATATTAAGTTAGTTAGTTAGTTAGTTAAGGTATATCTGTGAGGTCAATAGTGCAAAGTTTTGGTACTGCTTTGGTTTTCTTGTTTACATCCCCTTGCTGATGCTGTCAGTGAGGCGCGGTGCAGATCCAGATGTGTGGCTCTCTGGGTGGAGTAGAGTTCAGCTGTGTTCACTTATGCTCTGCCTGTGTTATCCCCTTATACTGTTAAACTGTGTGATAGAGCACTGTGGAAAGTCTACTTGAATGTGAGCTCAAGGGCTAAACAATATCTCAAAATCTTCAATGCAGTATCAGCTAAGGAATTATCCATATCACTAAAAATGTAATGCAACACTATAGGATTGTCAAAACAACGGATGTAATCAAGATCTTTAGAAAAGTAGAAAACAAAAATGTAAAAATGGGACAAAATACACTCAACCTCCCAGTGTCTTCAACTATTGTATACATTGGGGACTAACATTTCTTAAGTTTTTTTATTCTTGAATACCTTCTGTAATATTATCCCTCCCTCTCTTCCTCTCCTCTAGTCCTCAGCCCCCTCAGCCGAAGACCCCTGAGGTGGCCTGGTCTGAGTCGGACTCGGCTGTATTCCACCTCACAGACGATTCCTTTGACAGTTTCCTCCAGGAGCACCCGGCCGCTCTCATCATGTTCTATGCCCCCTGTGAGTAACTAACCCAACACCTCCCTCAACACTGTTTTATTATTCATCATACACTCTGATGTTTAAATAAACTAGCAACCACTCACACGACTCAAATGACACAAGTCACATGCAAGTTTAAGTACACATGGGTTTTAGGGAATTGTAATTAATCACAGAACTTAAGACTGTGAAGTGCTTGTCTGCATAGAGTGACATGAGGTCCCCTGATGGTGTATTATTGTGGTTATTCTTGATCTCTTATTTATGTGTTTTCTTTGTGTTAAATCATGTGACCTCCTGTCCCAAGATATCTTTTCTCTCAGCATATGGACAGGCCATGGCTCGTGTGAAAGCTCAGAACCTTCAGAATTCCCTCACTGAGCTGCAGAGGCTACACTAGCACTCATTCATGATGTACTGCTGATGCTGGGGTTTAGGTAGTGACCATGCAGATCAGAGAGAGGCATCAAACACTCGCCATCAAAACTTGGCATTACAATTATCTGTAAAAGTAATATTTGATTTGAACATGTCTACCTTGTATCTGGGGACACAGTGCCCACATGTTGATGAAAATTCACATTTTTACGAAGTGCATGAATGCAATGTCATTCTTGTAGCAGGTGGTATTTTCTGGTCTGAAAATGTGTTGAAATTTTTACCAAACTTGCATCTGGTGGACTTTCACAAAATCTTTGACAGACTTGAAACTATTTTGAGCTAACAACTGTTTACACTCAGCTGTTGGTTTTCAGATCACTTCCTCCGCCCAGCTTCTTGCTCAGAGGCAGAAATTTAGGCGACTTTTGCATAAACTTTGAGTAAAACTCTGAAGGAACCCATCTGTGGATTTGACAAGGCAGAGCTGTCTGGTAAATTGTCCCAAATATTTTACAATGAATCTGCATTATTTCCCACAAATGAAACATGATGCAAAAACATGTCATGAATAATAGGTGTGTGCTATGTAGCTCTTCTGATGGAGGATCACCGCCAAGCCAAATTTCAGGTCAGATCTGTGGAGAAACTTCCCACTTACAGCCAGAATGCATGTTTTTCATTACCTGGGATCCAGAATACACACTTCTCCAGTACTTTATGAAGATGTGAGTCTCATCAGTGGTGATTCTCCTTGATTTCAGATGGGTGTGATCAGAAACATACCTGGGGTTGTGTTTTCTTTTATTCACACATGTTTAACACACAAACTCTGCATATTTTTTGCTTTTTTTCCAAACAGAAAACATGCTACCTTGTGATTTCATGTTTCATACAGGAAGTCCTCCACTGTGTTTTTAAACTCCATACACCTTCAAAGGAATCACTGATGATTTTAGCCTTGGAATTGCCAATCTCTAAAACAAACAGTACAACAAAAAAGTGAACAAAGGATAAAAGGTAACGGTTAACTTGAAATCTATTGCTTCATGACATCACAAAGTGGAACACAGCATTCTGATCTTTGGAGATGTAGACAAACTAATAATAAAGGGTTACTAAAAAGTGTGTGAATGAAGTAAAACACAACTCCAGGTATGTTTTTGATGAGATAACACAAGTAAATTTCATGTAGTGAGGAAAAAAATCCAGGCTAAGCAATAAAATCTCCATCGACACAAGCAGGTGGCAGATTCCCACTAGAAAAATTACATATTGCGTATTTCTCAGTACTATCCAATTCACCACTTTCAGATTTCCATGGTTGGTTAACTTACCTGTTTTGCAATCCTAACCTTAAGTCCAACTATGCTTTTAAGATCCACATTTTGTCCCCATTTTCTTGGCTTATTGCTCACTTCCCCCAAACATCTCCTCATTGTTTCATATTGGAGTCAGCTGTAGAGAAATTCCCTGTAAAATGGAAAAACAAACCTGAGCAGACTGCATTAAACTTTTGTCTTCACCATCACACGCACACAGCACTAGCCTAGCATTCAGCGCTTCATTGTGGCCATATGTTTCCCATAATCCCCCCTGTCATTTTTACTCAACCTCCTCTTAGCTTTTGTTGCGCGGGGCTTTGTAAACATGCCAGGAATTATCAGTGCTTTCTCCTTCTCCGCTGGTATCAATTGTGTTTCTTTGGTCCTCACTTAAAGGCAGTCCTTGGAAAAGCTATCTTGTTGATAAAAAGTTAACGATATACAGATCAAGCAAATTACAGAATTCATGTTTCTCAAATTGGTTCTGGTGCCCCTGCTTGTATGTGATTTTAGTTTAGTGGGTATCGATGTATTAATTCTTTTTTTGTCCTAGTTTTTTTAGTGCTAATTTAGACATAATTTTTTCAGTTTCAAAATCTTTAAAGATGCAGTATGCAACTTTTCTGGCGAGGGGTCTGTCGCCTACTTCCATCTATGGAGATGTTTTTGCTTTGCCTGGAATGTTCCGCATTATGGCATGGCTAGTGAATTTGGTCTATTTTTAGTTCTAGTTTATACCAGCTTTATTATTATAATGTTCCCTGTTCAATATTGCTTCTAACTGATTTAGATCCCAGTTTGCTTAGTCTTAGTCTTGTTAAGTCTGATTTGCTTTGTCATTTATCCCTGGTTTTATACAGATTAAATTTGGGTTGTCAAAAGTAACTAAAATCTGAGAAAAACCCCACAAACATAACAAAATTTGACCTTTCATTTGCAGTAATCTTGAACTTTATCAACATCACTATAGAATCACATGATAACTTAAAGAAAGCACTATTATTCTGTGCTGCAAATTACATAGATGGTCCATTTGTTTTGTTTTGTTTTCATCATTATGGTAAGTAAGTAAGTTTATTTTTATATAGCACTTTTCATAGACATATGTCACAAAGAGCATTATTCAGTAACTCCATACCCGGTAGTGCTAAGCTACTATTGTAGCCACAGACTGACTGAAGGGTGGCTGCCAGTCAGTGCCATTGGTCCCTCTGACCACCTGTATCACTCACACACACACACCACTTTCTTATTTAGCAATGTAGGTGAAGTGTCTTGCCTAAGGACACGACTTTTTTTTCTTCTTTTTTTTTTTTGCGACTGGCGCACCCCTGTGGTACCTGATTTTCCCAGCGGTCTCCCATCCAAGTACTACCCAGGCCCAGCCTTGCTTAGCTTCTGAGATCTGACGGGATCAGGCTTTGACAAGCCAGTATGGCTTCAGAATCAAGTTTGAAATTTTATATCATGACAACGTTAGATTAGATATAATTAGTCTTAGTTTTTTTTTTTTTTATTCTAAATATTTGAGTGGTAGTACAGTTTAGCTCTTTCATACTTAGTGTATAAGTTAAATTAAAGGTGCATTGTGCAACTTTTCTGGTGGAGCGTCCGCCAAATGCTTATGTTATTGATATATCTGCAATGTTTCACAGTATGGTATTAAACCTTTTTTTCATCATGGAGACCAAACCAGACTACGTTAGAGGTCAGAACTGTGGAGGGGCGACCCTGTCAGTCAGTGCCTGTTTTTCTAGGTATTTCTGAGCTATAAAATCACCTGCAATTGAATAAATGTAAAGTAGAACTGTTTAATGTCATACTGTGGAATATTCCAGGGAGAACAATGACATATCCATAGAAACAAGCAGGTGATGGACCCCCAATCAAAAAGTTACATAGTGTATCTTTAAGAACCACCACTGTACATTTCCTATTTAGCAGGATATCTGTACGTATTGGCTCAATGTTGAATTTTTTTTTACCTATTTATGCTGCTTTCCCTGCCTGTCCTTTACCTGTATAGTGTGAAAAATAGCTTTGCGCATCTCCACTTTGCACTATAATTATGATTCATAGTTTTAAGTTACATCAGACCAGTAGTAGCAGAGTTCCCCTATACCCAGAAACAGAGCCTAAGGGGAGCCAAACTTCAAAAGATAACACTAGTAGCAGACATACACAGCAAAGGATAGGGACAGAGTTAAATATTTATAGTGGAAAAGTGAAAATGTCTCTTAACAAATGAGTCACTAGAAAAACAGGTTCCAGTTGGCAACAAAAAGTCAAACTTTACAAGTGAGATAATTCTTGTCTTCATTGTTAGGAATGCACAAAAACATTACTTGAGATGTCAACAGGCAACGATAATGGTGTCAGAGATTGAACATTAAATTAAATTATACTTTCTCAAATTTGAACTTATCCTGAAAAGTCAAAAAGTCAAATTTTATAAGTGAACTAATTGTCATCACTTTTGGAAAGGCAAAAAATGCAACTTTATGGTTGGAGGTACGTCACCTGCTTGTTTCTATGGACATGTCATTGCTCTGTCTGGAATGTTCCACAGTATGACATTAAACAGCTCTACCTTACATTTATTTAATTACAGGAGGATTCTGACTGTGAGCGGAGTCGCCTCCCCACCGATCTGACCTGTGTCTGGTTTGGTCTCCATGAAGATAGAAAGGTTTAATGCCATGCTGTGAAAAATTCCAGTCAAAGCAATAATATCTCCATGGAGAAAATAATTTGACAGACCCTCCAACAGAAAAGTTACACAGTGTACCTTTAAGTGACCAATTGGCAATGTTCAGGTGTTAGTTATTTGGACCTTGCTTACCTTTAATGAAATATTAACTGTATTCTCTCATTTAAGAGTTTGAAAAAATGCAGTTTGTAAAAGATTTAAAATTAAGCTATGTTTATATGGTGACGGTCTGAACAGAAGACACAAAAGTGGCGTCGCGTCTTCACTTTTTATTCTTTAGACAAGCGTTTTCAGAAGGAAATCTGCGTGCATACGGTGACGCAAAAGTGTGCGGAATTCGATTGGTTATGCATGCCAGGCGGCTAGGTGGTGACACTAGGTGGCGATGTATGTGATGTAAACACGTACACAACGTGAGCAGATCTGACCAGAGTTTTGCGTCTTGGACAGTGTAGACTGAAATGCTACGGCGGAGCGTATTCAACTTTTCCACTCTGGAGGGTGATTTCAGATTATTACATTTTTAAGCCCCCAAAACACCATCACCATCTGAACAAAAGGCACTTCTGATAAAATATTTTGCGTTTTTACTCGCAAGCGTTCTC